AACCAGATTATGCTTTGCCACAATCGCTTGGGACATTTTTCTTTTAGTTATTTGAAATGTCTTTTCCCAAAATTGTTTGAGTCTATTAAATTATCTACTTTGGAGTGTGAGAGTTGTCAATTAGGAAAGCATTGTAGATAGTCTTTTAAACCAAGTAATAAAAGAAGTACTTCTGCTTTTAATATTGTTCACACTGATGTATGGAGGCCATATCAAATCCCTTCCATGAGAGGATTCCGTTTCTTTCTCTTATTTGTGGATGATTATACACGATATTCTTGGATATGTTTGATGAGATCACGTGATAATGTTCCTAACTTAGTACGATAATTCCACCAGATGGTTCTCACACAATTTGGAGTGAGAACTAAGGTTTTTAGATTAGATAATGCCAAAGAGTACTTTGAGAATGACCTAACCACGTATCTCTTAGAACATGGTGTAGTTTATCAGAGCAGTTGTGCATATACACCGCAACAGAATGGAGTTGTTGAGAGGAAAAACAGACACACTGTGGAGGTGGCAAGGAGTCTTATGGTGTGTGCTTAAGTTTTTGTGCAGTTTTTACAGCCGTACATGTGATTAATCGTGTTCCGTCACGGACTTTGGGGTTTAAGGTGCCATTTAGCCTCCTTTTTCCATATGGAGAGATATTTCATATATCTCTGAGGGTTTTTGGCTATGTTTCTTTTGTTCACATTCTTGGCCCTCATCACAAGAGATTGGATCATAAGGCCAAGAAATGTATTTTTCTTGGGTATGCTCAGAACCAAAAGGGGTATTGCTGTTTTGACTCAGTGTCGAGGAGCAGATTTGTCACTATGCATGTTACCTTTTTTGAATCCACATTCTTCTTCTCGAGTGGTTCTCCTCAGGGGGAGAGTTTTGGGAGGAGAACTCACAATCTATTCCTCTTCCTGTTTTTGTGGTACCTCCTCTAGTTCAGCCAGCATCTACATGAGTTCATCCACCACCTGCACCATTAGTTCAGCCAACATCGGTTCAACCAGCACCTGCATCCACAGTTTCATTACCTGAGCCATTACGGGCAACTTCACAGCAATATCAGCGCCGACAGATGATGGTTAACTCCACACATCCTCGACCCACACCACTCTCTGTCAGTCCTTTTGAAACTCCAGATTCGACAGATGCAGTTCCAGGTATTCCTCTTAAGCCTGTTATGTTTTCTGATGATAATGTTTCTGTCCGTAACACCATTGTTACAGCTGATCCCACTGACCTTGATATTTCCATTGCATTTTGTAAGGGGAAGAGAAAGTGTACAACCCACTGCATTTCACACCATCTTTTCTACAGTGCCTTATCACCCTCCTAACATGCTTTTCTTTCTTCCTTGGATTCTATGTCTATACCTAGGAATGTTACTGAGGCTCTCTCCAAATCTGTGTGGAAAACAACCATGCAAGATGAGATTGATGCTTTGGTCAAAAACCAAACTTGGGAAATAGTTGATATCCACTAGACAATGAGACAGTCGGATGTCGATGGGTATTCGTAATGAAGTATAAGGCCGATGGCAAGATAGAGAGGTACAAGGCAAGGTTGGTAGCAAAAGGGTATACTCAAACCTATGGTGTTGATTATCTGAAAACCTTTGCACCAGTAGCTAAGATGAGTTCAGTTCGTAATCTTTTATCTCTAGCAGCCACCTATTCCTGGCCCTTGTCCTAGTTTGATGTAAAAAATGCTTTCCTCAATGGTGACACATGAGGAGGTATATATAGATATTCCAGCAAGTTTTTATGAAAATGTTGGTAAAGGAAATGTGTGCAGACTCAGAAAATCTCTGTATTGACTGAAACAGTCACCTAGGGCTTGGTTTGACAGGTTCAGAGGGGCATTCATTCGTTTTGGATACACACAGACACAGTCTGATCACACCCTCTTTGTGAAGAGGAGAGATGCTTTGGTGTCAATTCTGATTGTGTATGTGGATGATATAGTAGTGACAGGAAATGATCTGGAGGAGATTGATGATCTCAAAAAATCATTGCAAAAAGAATTTGAGATCAAAGATCTTGGTGAACTCAAATACTTCTTGGGGATTGAAGTTGCAAGATCCAAGCATGAGATCTTCATTTCACAGAGAAAGTATGTACTTGACCTACTGCGAGAGATTGGGAAGCTGGGGACCAAACTAGCAGACACTCAAATTGATCCAAATCACATAATTAATGGTGTGGATGGTGAATTGGTAAAGGATGTGGGGAGATATCAAAGAATGGTGTGCCGACTGTTGTATTTGTGTATGACACGACCAGATATTTCTTATGCTGTCAGTGTTGTGAGTCAGTATATGCATGCACCTCAAGTTCAACACTGGGAAACTATTGAGAGAATACTTGCATATCTAAAAAAGCACCCTGACAGAGGCATTATTTTCTCGAATCACAAGAATCTGAAACTAGAATCCTATACGGATGCAAACTGGGCAGGATGCTTAGATGACAGGAGGTCTACATCAGGAGTGTGTACCTTTGTAGGTGGAAACTTGATATCTCGGAAAAGTAAGAAGCAAGCGGTTATGGCAAGGTCGAGTGTAGAGGCTGAGTATAGATCCATAGCTCATGGTGTCTCATAACTTCTTTGGGTTAGATATCTTTTAAGTGAAATTGGGGTGAAAGCAGATGAACCTATGATGTTATACTGTGACAATCAGGTTGCAATCAATATTGCCCCCAATCCAATTCAACATGATAGGACAAAACACATTGAAGTTGATAAGCACTTTATAAGATAAATGGTAACGAACAGAGAAGTGTGTTTGCCTTATGTCTCTTTAGAGTTGTAGCTGGCTGATGTTCTCACTAAAGGGGTGGCAAGGAACAAGCTTGAACATGATCTACGCAAGTTGGGAATGTGTGTCATTTACTCCCAACTTGAGGGGGAGTGTTGAAGATTAATTAGTTTTATGATGTTTTTMTRAGTAGATGTTTTATGTTAGTTGTTAGATAGGAGGTGRRGACCAYAVTRGTTATGTGARTCCAAATTTTATTATGTTTTTTGAGTGTTATATATGTTGTTTTATGTTTTGCCGCCCTATAAGGGCATAGTTGTCTTTGTACTGTTCTATTATTTTAGTATAAATAATAAGTGAAGGGGGCGGCTAGATTATTGCTCTCTTTTCTTTCAACTTCTCTTATTCTCCTTTTCTCTTCCTTCTCTCTTCAAGAAACTACTTTCTTTCATATTTTTTTAATTCAGTAGATTTCTACTATATTAACAATGGCTAGGTTTACACTACCAACCGACTGATTTACATTCTTCTATTCATATACTCATTTACATTATTGACCAACTAATTCATAGCTCTATCCCTCTCCTCTTTGATTCATACCAAAGATGGCTAGGTTTTCACTGTAGATCGATTGTTTCCATCTTGAAATCCTGCACATTGCGTCGTAGTTTCACCTTCAAAGCAACCTTTGTTATTCTCTTCATTTTAGCAGCGGCAAGGGATTTCTCTAAGATCACAACACGTGAGAGTAATACGGGTTGTCGGATCCCATGATTGAGGTGGGCCTTTGTTCTAATCGAACAACAAAGGAGGCGGGGCTTTGTTCCGATCCCATAGTTGTTGTGTGCAGTTAGAATCCCGGACGTTATGCCGTGGTTTCGCCTTCACAACAAACTGGTTCTTGGTTACTAGTACTTTTACACCAATGGAGAGACGAAGAAGAGGTTTTTACATAAAAAAATGATGTAATTTTCACATTGATTCTCAATGTAAAAGTCTGACAAAAAAGATCGTTTACATTGATGTACGTTGTTATTTTACATTGCATCCAAACTATCGCAAAACTGGATCAGAGTGTAAAATAAACAACAAACCAGGATTTACACCACTTCCAAACGCAACCTTAGAGTTATTGTTGGAAAGCCAGAACCAAGTTTTAAATTGGTTTGGGTATTAGTTGAGACCTCAAGTAACGGGGCCAACCCAAACTCCATGAGTGGTGGATTTATAGAGATCGACTTCAGTGCTCATAAGACCGTGCTCACATCGTTCCACAATTCATTGAAGCATTGCCTTGGCAATATTACCATACTTACAATTTTTTTTCTTTTTTTATTTTTATAATCACAAATAAATATTCCTAAAAGGAACTATGAGAATGGTGTGAGTAGCGCAATCTTATGAGCATTGAAGCCGATTTCGGATTTATAGGCTTGAGAATACCTTTGTCTGGGTTAGGAACTTTATTGGGCTTGCACCTTCGAGTCGGGCCCAATAAAGATTTAACAAAGGCTCAACATGTGTTTCACCAGTTCAACGTTGAGTCCTTAACCACGGTTCTGAAAATTGGACCGGATCAGATATTAGACCAGTTGACCTTGGAGCTAGTTAGGTAACTGGTTCTGTTTCACTTTAAAATCATTTTTTGGACAAAAATTGTTGATTTGGTCAACAATCTGCTGACCTGAGCAATCAAACCGTTAATCCAGACAATAATTTTTTGACCGTTTTTTATTTTATTTTTAAGTCAAAATGGGCCATCTGTTCAATCAAATGGTCGGACCATTTGATGTAAGAACCGATCTATGTCCGGTTCGTTTTTTAAAACATTGTCCCTAACACATGCATTAGGATGTAGCCTGTATAACCCTTAGTAGTTTGTCCAGATTCTCTGCAGATGGGCTTAATCTATAGTCGGGAAAACTGACGGGTTCTATACTTCTAAGGGATGAAACATGAAACCCAACATGAAGGAGGCTCGCTTTATCATGCCGGGTCATGGATTGATTAGGGTACACGCTCGTAGGCATGGCCCAGTCCATTTCGGTCCACATCTTTGTATGTTCCCGAATCTTCTGAGATCTGTATACCAAACAATCAGTCATTCCTGGTCCAAGAAAGATCCGTACCCGGAAATTAACCATCACCAAGAACCCAGCCCCAAGCCCCGAACAACCTGAAAGCCAATTTAATATTGGAAAGAAAAAAGGTAAAAGGAGATGGACTCTGTGCTAGAGACTCTGACCTCCGTGTTTTTACCAACAAGGCCTAATAAACAACTACTACTGCCAGAAACCAGAGAGAGAGGAAGACGAAACCCATTCAATAACTCCGTTGAACACAGCGACGAAAGAAAACAAAATAAGGATTTTTTTTTTTTGCTTTAATTTCTTCCTTCCTTCACCTCCATTGGTGACCGGTGGAGGTGTTTATTGTGTGGGTGTTGTTGGTGTTGGTGTTGGTTCAATCGTTCGTTGAGCTCTCCCTTTCTATCGATCTTCTTTCGTTGGTTGTTACTTCCGATGGTTGACTCCACTTGAAGCAACCGTTTTCTTGAATCTCTCTGATGGGTTTCGTTTTGTCTCCTTCGAGTCCTCGGGATCAACTGAAACAGAGAGTTTTTGTTGGACTTTGCATTTGAATTGTGTTTCTGATATGATCTGGAAGGCGAATTCGGGTTACATGCTAAGGAAGAGAAAGGGAGGACTCTCAGTCTGGCGCGGGAGTATAGTCCTATGTGTAATTTTAGCTTTGTTCCGGCCGGCAATAGCTCTCCGACCACTAAGGGAGAAGGCTCGGTCTTGGGGTGATGAGGTCAGTCTTTAATAAAGTTTTCCATTGTTGGTGTATTTTTGCATCTATTTTCTTCCAAATTCAGAACAAAAGATCGTTTTGTATTCTTGAATATTGATTGACTATAATTGAGCTTTCTCTTATAGGTGAGGAGCATTGCAAGGTTGACCTCGTTTTTCAGTTTGTGCAATGTACCCAAAACCATTCCTTAGGCCAAACTAACTGATTGAACTTGTGTCATAAGGAAGTGGCATTAGGCCTTGTATATGTAAGTATATACAAGGAAGAGCAATTGCCTGTATGGTATAGGAGTTGGATTTGGCTGATCCCAAAATCTTAGAAATTGTGGCTTGGCCAAGATAGGTATGTTTATTGCCTAAGGGATGAAGGTAGATGGGCAGACAAACATTAGGCAATAAATGATATAGTATCTAAGTCGTCAAGCATTATCTATTTAATAATTTAGATGTGTCACTACTGATATTAAATAGAGGAAGCATCGGCAACAAAAGAAAGCTATGATCAACTTGCACCATCAGTATTAAGAACTCAAAGTGTGGTAGAGCACTACAGCAGTGTAGTGCATAATAATACTAAAGGGATGTGGTTATGTAGCTGGTCAGGTGTTCTGCATATTAAAGTTTCTCAAATAATAATTGCGGTTTTAGTAAAAACATCATCTAAAAATTTGTATTGTGTTGGATATCTATGCAGTCAACTAAGTTTGTCATGAATAGGGTATGCTTTTGTGTATCTGACATATCTGACATTACCCAGATTTGTATCATATCAACCTATATTATCTTAAATAGGAGTCTGGGTATTGTAGGATAATATCCAAGACATGGTTGTGTCTCCAATAACCAATAATCCATGGAACATATGGAATGCCAGACTCAAGAAAGTAATGAAATACACATGAAACTTCTATCTAACTTCTCTTGACCGCAGTAGATGTTACCACTGTCATCTTGGGTAATAAGTATGTCATTATACTCCTTACATTATATGTAATAGGATTATTACCTGATCAAGAGAGGAGTTATATGTAAAAAATATGGACCATAGAAATTTCTAGGAATCCTTGATTTTACAACAGTTATTCTCCTTTTTAGCTCCACCTATGGAGCTCTTTTGCGATTGTAAAAGTGTTCTAAGGATAACAAACATGGTGTAGTGAGTAAGGAGGTTTATCTTATCATTCAGGGGTATTATTGAACATTCCAAAAATATCCTGTGAATAAGTTCAGCTCAAAGAGGTTAAGCTGCAATTTCATTAATCAATTGCATTTTCCAAATGACAAGGTTAGTTGCAATGCATTAAAAGTTATTGTTTATATTTTTTTACACATCAGAGTCGTCAACTTTGTACACCATACATGTTTAGTCAGGTGTGTCTTTAATTAGCACGAGAGATCTACCTGTCATTTTTTAAATTTTAGTTTTGATTGTAAATTACATCTAACATGTTATCAACTTAAATTCTTATGTTTTTATTTGTCCTGATTGATTTTGGTTCTTGCAGTGGCTATTTATTAGAAAAGATGACAATGACCATGGTTCATATTCTCCCTGGAACATAACAGGCACCTACAGAGGTTTGTAAATTTTCTACTTGGATTTTAATCATCTATTTGTTGTTATAAATAGTAGATATTGAGTTGTCTTGTTATTTCAGAGGGCTTTAGTTCTGTTTAGATCCTTGTTAACTTGAATATTCTAATAGAAAACACCATTTTTTTGGAATATATGGTTTAAGAAATACAATTTCATTTTGTCAAACAGGGGTGGCAACTTCTGACCCAACCAACAAAACTACTTAAAAAGCATCCAAATCCACCCATCCACTCAACATGTTATATATTGGTTAAATCTACCCTCTGGTCACTCCATACTGCGGTATTCACTGGTTGGGTTGGGTTGGATATGGGCTATGTTAATCCATGTACATGTCATAATAGGGTGTGGGTAAGCCAATCAAAGCAGAATTACTTGATATTGGCACGCACTATGTTGTTTATACAAGAAGTTGTTGTTTGTTCCTAGTATTAAACTCCATGAGATAAAAGGTATTTCAATACCATATTATGTATGCTTCAGATATAAAAACACCAAAAGAGCTCTTCTTTATGCATGCATAAAATTTGTGGTTTATGTTGATCGTGTCTTTACTGTGTTAGTGATATTGATATTACAATTCTATTACGGGAAGTCTGTGTGAACAGCATAGCTACATTAGTTTTCTTGGTGAGATTGCAATAGGATAAAAGGGGACTGAAAATTTATCTTTTGTCCATATTCAGTACAAGATATGCCAGGGCATATATGACATAAGGAGTCAATTGTGAAAATGACATATAAATGTCATTTTCAAAAGTTGAAATTTGATGGCAACACTTATTTATTTTTCGACCATGGGGATCCTGATGAAGTATCATTGTAACATGATCAGGGAAGAGTTCAAAGTTGGGTTGTTGAAATAAGCTGAAGATGTTAATTGAGCAAGCAAGGTTGCAAAGATGTAATACACAGCAGAATGTTTGGACTAATCTCATGCGGTCAAACTCCCAAGGATGTACCACTGTCTGATATTAGCATCATACAATATCTCATTGACCTTTGAGTTTTAATATTCAGGATGCTATTATATAGGTGGCTAGTTTAAGTTTATTACCCGCTCTAAGTTTTTCCCCTGTAATTACATTAGCTTGGCCAAAAGTGGGCCCTATAGACAGTTATTTTGATTGTTGACTTGGATATGCATCAGAACTTGATTGAACTTCCTAACTAGCTGATTAAACACAGTGGATTAATTGAACTGGCAATCAAACCACTAAATTGGATCTGGAAATGAACTTTATTGTTGTTGCCATTACCGTTTTTATTTTCAAATTCAGATGAGGTCATCTGGTCAAGCTATGGCCTGGGTTTTAAAACATTGCCCTATAGTCAGCTAATATTTTGGTAAATTTGAAGGCTATCTTAAATAAAGGAAGAATTTGTTTTCAAAATAAATAAATAAAGGAATAGTTTGAGTTTTGGTGCCTATGGAAGGAGTTGGAAGAAGTTTTTCTAAATATGCTTATTTCAGCCTTCAATCACCTCCCCAGTAAGAGTGTAAGACCATCTTCCTTCTTGTTAGCGGATCAATGGACTTGGTTGGATGAAATGTTCATACTCCTGGAGAACTCCTTGATTTGGGTTAATATTTATGTGCCATAATCTTCAATGACATCTATCCCTTCTCTTTTTTAAATAACTGGTAGGTCTATTGTATTATTATAGTGAAATAGGGATGAATACCACAAGATTCAATGATCTTTACATGGTTAATGAAATAAAACCATGAGCAGCATATACTTGTATACAATTCAATACATCAAATTCTACCAAAACAAAAAAAGAAATTCAATACATCAAAATTAATCAAAGAGAAATGGGAGCTTGGAGTCAGGGTTTGCAAAGTCATTCTATGCTGTTCAGTGTGGAATGGTATAGAGAGTCATTCTCTGCTCTCAATAACAGGGTCTCTTATAGAATGGGTGATGGATTGAAATTGAGATATTGGTTGGATGTTGGGTATGATCTAAGCTCTCTCAAAACTCACTTTTGTAATCTCTTTGAAGTGGCTAACAATAAAGAAAGGGCAGTATGCGGTTTTTTGTGAGGGTGGGGGATAAGGTGGTCTGGGTTCCTAAAATCCAAAGAAATCTCTAGGAGATGAATGAGGTGACTGATTCAATCCCATAAGCCAAATCATGGTGTGCCTAATCAGCATATCTGGTAGTGGGAAAAAACAGGTCTGTCCACTGTTAAATCTCGTCTGATATCTAATTCTTATTAGTAGTAGCAATTTACCTTGCAAGGTTGTTTTTAGAGCCTCCAATTCCTTCCAGGACTGCTTTATGGTCTGGATAGCATCTCTGGACAAACACCATACTAAAGGAGATTCAGTCAATACCATAAATTGGCCAGGAGAGAAGGATAATGGTCCTTGGAGGCCAGTTCACTCCGTAATGGAGGAAAGTGACATTTTGGTTTCTCTGATTGTAAAGCTCATCTGGATTTCCAGGGAGCTAAACCCTTTAGCAGATAGTCTGGCCAAATCTGGTGCCCTTAAGGAAGCTTTTTACAGTGACATAAACTTGCCTTTGTAACTTGTGTGTTTGGTTCTTTCTTGTACGTCACCCCATGTATTTATATTTTGTCTCTTAAGATAATCAGTTACACTTTTTCTCAAATAAAAAAAAAGGGATATGGAAGTATCCACCATGGACTGCGTATTCTACAGGAATGATTTGGAAGTGGCCTGTCATCTATTGTACCTGGAGGGGTAAACTCTTGATTTCCTTTCTAGTTTGGAAAACTCTTGAGATGTCCTTGAAAAGTAAAATACATGCATTATGTTATGGAATATGTGGAAGCAATGTTTAGTAGATGCATCAAAATTTAGGTATTTTGTAGTGTAAGTTCAATTATTCTTCCAAGCAATTCTTATCTATATCATTAATTCCATCATATCTTGTAGTAAGTAGGTAAAGGAAAGCTGATATGATCTCTTGGAGCATTATCACCATCCTTGCACCATTATCTTAGATTTACTCTCATTCTCAGAATTGCCCTCTTTGTTTTTCTTTTGTGCACTGTAATAAATTCACTTTGATATTGTTGAAACTTGAAAGTCATCTACTTCATCTGTGCTCTTTTATCCATTTGAGTCCATTTCTTGTGGAACTTTAGTTTTTCATGACTTAAAACATTTGTTATGTCTAATTGTCCGAGATGAGATTTTTCTCATTTCATATTAGGTATTCAGTATTGTGAATGCTGGTTGTTCTACCCAGAAAAAATGCTGGTTGAATTAATAGCACAAAAGATGATCATACATGTCTTTCTTCTCATTATTTTTGTTTAAGTGCAACCTCATCTTTTAATGAATGATGATTCAAACCAGTTAACTTCTTTGAGGATATTATTTTCCTGAGTTTAGAATGGCTTGGTTAAAGTGTGTCTTTTGATAAATAAGTTGATCAAAAGATAGGTTTGGAATTTATTAGATTTAGTTTGTTAAATGCATCATTTAGCATTAATGTTGTTGATTACTGGAACATTTATGGTGCAGGAACTTGGAGTTTCCTAGATTCCAGTAACAGCTCTTCCAGATTTCCTGATTTTGGGAGATCAAGTGGCAATTCTGTTTTTGAACTGGTGACTACTCCGACAAAGATTAACGGAGTACATTATGTCCAGGTGAGGGTTCTGTTCCACTTTTATTGCTTATATTCATTTAGAGAAAGTGTTGCCTGTGTTGGCCAATTTTTGCTTTATCTTCTAGTGAAAATGTCCTATGTAAGACAATATCTAGAAAGTTAATTGGGTTGGAGAATGATTTAAATTGTTGTGCACTCCCTTCTGTGTTGCTTCCGGTGTTAATCATATGATGTGGGAGTGGTTTCATGAAGTGCTTTTGTTTATTTATTTATTTTTTGCAGTCATATTTAACTGGAATTTTTTTCTCTTAATGAATCAATTTTACTGTTATTGATAAAAAATATATATTTAACTTTTGGGATTCATTCCTTGAAGTTATCAGCATCCATTATTGTACTACTGGTCTAATGATTAATAGAAAAACAAAGAAAGAATATGAAGGACCACATGGTGGCACTTTGTGAGACTTGAATGAAACTTCTTTCACATTATGAATTAGAGGAGTGCTCTATTTTATATTCTACTTGGCATATGCTATGAGATATCCGCTACAGGTGAAAGTAGACAAAATTATGTGTCTTATGTTTTTGGATCTATAATCCATTTTTTGGAATTGTGGGCTATCCTGAACTGCCCTTTGCTCCTCTTAATGTTTAGTCCCATTTCATAGATATCTTCAGGGTGAATTGAGTCATTAAGATGAGAATTTAAAGGTTTGAAGACTGGTTGAGGTTGTCAGTAATGGGAAAAGTAAGGAAAAAGATTCAAGATCCATGATATTGATTTCAAGGAATTGCAACTACCAATATCATTGAAGGTATGGTGTAGCCACATCCCCTCACGAGTTTGCTTTTTTGTGTGGGAAGCCTGCTTGCAAAGGATCAACACTTGCGACTGTCTCCAAAAGAAGAGCTTGGGAGAAACCATTGAAACCTGGGAGGATCGTAAGGAAGAAGTAGAGAGTTCCTGGTTTGGCTTTTTTGGTCACCTTCCTTTGTAACAGTTTCCTTTTCTTTAAATAAATTTATTTTATTACTAAAAGAGTCAAATGCTCTACCTTGTTTAACAAAGCCTTATATCAATTAAATTGAATCTCTAGATGAAACTCGTCCATTGTTCCACTTATAAGAATAAGAGTCAAATGCTTTACCTTTGTAGAGATAGTTAGTAGCTCTATAGTGTGTGTGTGTGGTTCCAGCCCCGCACTTATTTTATTTTATTCTTTATTTCTTTTTATTACAGTTGGGCCGGTTGGGCCTTGTTTATTTTTGTTTATTTGTCTTTTATTTTAAGTGGGGGTATTAGAGTAACTCCAACCTTTGTAAGGACATAAATATATATAATATCTAGTGGGGTGTCTGATCTATCTAACCGAACCCCTTTTTCTTCTTCTCCTCTCTTCTCTCTCTTCCTCTTCTTCTTCTTCTCTTCGAAGCCTAGTTCACTTTTCTTTCTTCTCTTCCTCTTTAGAACACATATTTGTTATCATAGTTTTCAAGGCGCCAAGGCGAGGCTAGGCGACCAAGGGGCGCCCAGGCGCCTAGGCCTCGCCTAGGTGATGAAATCAGAAAATAGTAAGCCTATGTGTTTCTACCCTTCATGAGCTAGTTACTTGGTTTTATACATTAACCTACAAACCTCTAAACTAAATTTTCTACTTATGATTCTTGTAGTTGTGCTTAAAGCATGCAACACAAAATATTAGAAATAGAAATTCGGACTTGAAAGAAGAACTGAAGAGAGCGTAGCCCCTGTGTTTGACCAAGAAAAGAAAAAGAACTTAAGGAGAAAACAGGGAGGCAGAGCCCTGTTTTAGACCCAAAAAAGAAAAGCTAGGGAAACACTAAATAATAGAAGAAAATGAAAAGAAGGGGGCAGAGCCCCTGTTTCAGATCACCAGTGAAGAGGAAAAAATGATGAAGAAACCCAGAGAAATGAAAAAGAAAAGGGGGCGGAACCCCTGTTCCAGATTACCATCGAGGAGGACAAAAGTGCAGGTAAAAGGGTGAAAAGTTTGCAGGAAAATGAAGAAGAAATGAAGGGGATGGAGCCCCTGTTTGATTCCAAAGCAAAAAATGTATGGAGAAAAAAACAGGAAGAACCAACAAAAAGGAAGAAAAAAAAGGCTGAAAAGGAAGAGGGTAGGAGGAAAAATAGGCGGACTGAAAACTGAGAAGAAGAAGATGATTCATTTGACTACCTGGCATATTCGAAGTTGTTTAGACTTCTAGTTGGTTATGCAGCATTGCAGCAACAATTGGAGTTGGATTGTGTGTGAAACATACCTGACTGGACAGATCTCCCTCTTCTATTCAGTTCTGCCATGAAAATAAAACCCTAAAAACACAGCACTTTTTTTCTAATTAAAAGAGTGATAATGTGTGATAGGTTCTATTGTAATAACAAAAACAAACCAATAAAAACTATTTGCAGCAAAAGAAAAGTAAAAAATAATATAAAAATATTAAAGGATCAATGTATTAAGGGATATATCATGTATTAATGTGTCTTACATCTAGTCTAGGTGTGCACCTTGGAGTTAAGTGCACGCCTAGGTGCCCGCTTAGTCGCCTAGGCGTGCACCTAGTTGACTGGGCATGTGCCTTATACAAACTTTGCATGGCGTCTAAGCGAGGCAAAGTTTGAAAACCGCCTAGTCGCCTAGGCGTCGCCTTGACAACTATGTTTGTTATTTTATTTTATTCAAGTTTGTATCAGAGCTCTTGGCGAGAAAAGACTAGGGTTCTCACGTGAGCCTGATCTGGTCGGCTACATGAGAATTCTTTAGAACTGGATCTTCTGCAGTAGCGCTTGTTTCTTGGAGGTTGCTGGAGTGTTGGAGACTGCCCAAGAAAGTGAAAGACTCTTGGAGATTGCCCGGTGACCAGGAAGAATCAGAGTTTTTAGGTGTGACCAAGATTAGGGTTTCAAACTAAGGTGGTGATCAGAGTTTTTTCTGAGAAAGGTACAATCTTTAGTTGAGCCGATCTTGGTTAGAAGTTGTTAAGCCTCTCTTTAAGAAGCAGCTAATAAATCTGGGTATTGCCTGCTGTTTTCTCTCTTGTCTAAAACCCTTCGACCTTTTTTGAGGATTCAAGGACTGTTTTTTGACTGATAATGAACTAGAGAGTTGACCTTTGACTGTGATTGCATTCTTGGAAAGAAGCTGTCGACTGAGATCAAGTTCTTGGTGTCTTTTTATTGCTGTGATTAAATTCTGGGCTGTTTTTCTCTAAATTTCTTAGTGTTTCAGCAGAAAAGAATCTCTTTTTGGTCTTTTTCTTGGAGTTTTTTGACCTGTTAGTGCTCTACATAGAATGGAGAAGGCTGGAAGTGAGTTAAAAACACAAGGGGATGGACTTTTTGGGACTGGTAGCATGACTGAAAATTCGTTTCAGATTACCATTGTTAGGTTTGATGGAACCAATTACTTGGAATGAGCCTAATCAGTAATGATGGCCATTGGAAGTAGAGGTAAATTAGGTTATGTGACCGGAGACACAAAGAAGCCAGCCAAAGAAGATACATCACATCCAAGGTGATTTGGGACAGCATGAAGGAGACTTATTCCCAACCCCTTAATGTTGCTAGAGTTTATGAGCTGAAGTGTGAAGTGAATAATCTCAAGGAAGGGGAGAAGCCAGTCTCAGTGTACTTTGTTACTCTTAAATCCCTTTGGCATGAAATTGATCACCTGGAAACTATTGAGTGGGAAAGTCAGAGGGATGGAACAAGATATAGAAAACTGATTGAAACAAATAGAGCGTTTGAGTTCTTAGCTGGTATGAATTCAGATTTTGACATTATAAGACAACAAGTTCTCACTAGGGAGAGTGTGACTTTGTCTCAAGCCTACTCATTGGTTCATAGTGAAGAGAGTAGGAGGAAGGTTATGCTATCATTTCAGCCTATAGAGTCAGCCTTGGCAGCAACAAAATCTAAAGTTGGAGGGTAGAAGGAAGATAAAAGAGACATTTTTTGTGATCATTGTAAGAAGTCTAAACATACCTGGGACACTTGTTGGAAGTTGCATCCTCACCTAATGCCAGTGAGACTTAGAAACAAGAAGGGGAGTGCTAATGTGGCAACTATTACAGATGGTGCATCCACTTCCAGCACAAGGACCACACCCTTAGATGCCTTAGCTGCTGTTTGGGCTGCATTGACACAATTAGAGAATGAAGTTGGTATTTCTAGATCATCATCTCACTTCTCAGCCTTCAGCTACCACATTTTCTCATCCTACTTCAGCCTTTGCCCACATAGGTACAAGAGCTACAGCATATCATGCTTCAGTCCCAGGTAACAGTAGACCATTATGGGTAATAGATTTAGGTGCTTCAGACCATATGACCAGTAGAACATCATAAGAGAAATCTAAAACATAAAAGATGGGAAGTTTCACTCAGGCGGGGAAGTGGTGAGTGGAGCTGGCTATAGAGTCAAAGAAATTCCTATTCGAGCAGGGATGACAAAGGGCAAGTCTTACTTGAAGATCAGGGAAGGAAATAGGGCAACGATTATTCTACTAGAGGAAACTTGCAGTTGGCTGAAAGGTTTTGTTGATGGAGTAGTCAATACTATCAAGGAAGAAGGTTGGAAAAACTCACTGAGTTGTGGTGGTAGAAGATACGATGTAGTACTTAGGAAAAATGAGAGGGGCTGGTTCTTCACAGTAACAGAGTAATTTGGCATCAACAAGAAGCAGATGATTTGTGTGCCGGAGGGGCCAAGGGAGCAAGGTTGGAGCTCCTTTGCTAGGAACCTTCAAGCTTTCCTAGTGAAGGTTGAGAGGAAGGGCGAAGAGCCTAATGGAAGCCCAATGGTTTGTAACTCCACCTCCCTCTGTTTACCAGCATTGAGTAAGAAGCAGACCCCGCTCTGTCAAGAGGTCTTAGTAAACTCCGCAACTGTTCTTCAGAAGATAACTCTCGATGAAGAAGAAAGCAACTGGGAGCACAGAATGGTGTTAAAGGCAGATAAGGTGGTAAGGGATTGGAMAAAAGTYCTTAAYGCAGTGGCAGAGAGATTGGGTGTTG